GCTCAACACAGAAAAATGAAGCTGCAACGCATTCAGCCTTAGTTTCATTAGCGCAAGAACAATAGTAGCAAAGACAAAAAGGCACAGAATTTACTGTCAGATAGCAGCTAAAGAAGAAATTCCCTTGCAGCCTGGCTACGTACTCTGTTTACAGAGTAAAGAAAGCCACTAAATAAATCCAAGATCCAGTTGGAGTATGATCTACCAATGACTTTTTGCATAACTAATCATTAGAAATCACAACACAAATTCCACAGAGACCAATATTAAATTGAGTTACTGTCATGTTAGTATGGTCTTCTGGTCTATTAAATAAAATTCTGGCTACTTAAAACCCCGAGGGATAAGTTCTGTTCTTAGTTATGCTGATGTCCTCAATGGAAATTATTAAGAATATGAGCCAAGAAAAGTGTTTAATGCACAGTTATATTTAAAGAAATGTTCACATTAATTCAGATTTTATTATCTTTCCGTATCAGAGCTGTGCACTGAAAAAGACAACATCTTCATACAATACGTACTCAATTTTTTATCATGACAGAGATCTAGAATAAAATGTTTTGCAAAGATGATGCTTTATAAGCCTGTAAAAAAAGAACTTCTTATTCAAACCATACCCAAAACAAGACAACTAGCTGGCCTCCAAAATCACCAGCAGCAACAACCTCTAAAAGGCAGATTTTCTTTCTGTATTCAGTCAACTCACAGCTCTCCGTTACCAAGCAAAGAAGTAACAAGATACAGTATTTGAATTCCAAGATTGATATTTATCACACAACTTACTGCTCAGGGATTCTGTGATGCCATATATATCCTACAGGCAGTACGTAATTGTTACCAGTTTCACCTATACTCAATAATTTGTAAAACATATGTCATGAAAGCTTTGAACAGAGAGCACTAAAAGCACCTTAAATAGACAAGCCTTAAACACAGCTGTCTTGGGAAAAAGTGATGCAGAAACAAAAACTAATAGTTTCTAAACCTCACCACTATCTCAATAAACTAATTGCCAAACTAGGGCACAAAGATGAAATATAGAAAATAATTTATGCCAATTTGGTAGGTTTTTCTAGGGTCCCTTTAAAGTTTTGAGAAGATTGAGAGTTTGCTATGGCAAATTCAAACTAAAACATAGTAATCAGAAACAGAGAAGTGTCTGATGAACAATCATATAATACAAACAATATTAACCACATTATCCTGTCTGTGGAATCTGGCAAAAAAACCCCACACGCCAAAATTGCAGAAATATTAAATGTAAAATACTTCTTGCAGATTTTCAATCCAAGAGAAACCAACTTATTACAGTATTTGTTGGAGCCTGGTTGTAATTAAATACAGGAAGGATATTAAAACTTCCAAGAGATTTTTTTTAAGCCACAACAGAAGAAAAGGCACAATTGCATAATTGGAACCAAATCCAAAACCCACTTCCTTCTTATTTACTAGCATCATCTAAAGGACACTATTTAGATGCTGACGCTGAAAGGTCTGGAGCTGACAACTGTAAATCATCTAAAAGTCAAAAATTTCAAAGGAATTGTATGACATGGGTTAAAAGTTTATAGATGAGAGATATAGAAAGTTAGTGCTCACTGCAAAACCACATCCTAGTGGTCACCGTATCTCTCTCGTCAATAAAACCCTAGAATTGCATTTTGTTGTGGGGAAAGAAATCCGCTTTGGCAGTAATAAGCTGCTATAAAGCTATAGAGCAAAAATGTTTGATATACAGAATTTGAAAGAAAGATGTCTTTTTAAGATATACTAAAAATAACATGTCTTTAGAGATCAGGATTTCACTTATCATTTGTTTCTACACAGACCAGGTAAAGACTAACCAAACTTGCCAGTCAGTGGGATATTTCTTTAAAAGGCTTCAGATAATTTTCATTGGCAGTTGAATTCAGTTCAATGCTCTTTGTCATTAGCATATCTGTGCAGGAAATTAATATCAAAAGCATCTTCCCTCCTCCACCCCCCAAAAAAATACTCTTGCATTTCTATAAGGCATGCAGAAAAATGATAGCACAGACACAGATGGACATGTACATGCTCGGCTTTTTGCTATAAAACAAACCAAGCATTTTTCAGGGATTTCCAATTATTTAAGTGCTTTAACCCCTGGGTTTTTTTTTTCCTTTCTGACATAGTCAGTCATCAACACCACTCAGTGAAGACATATATATAGTCCAGCTTCACAATTCTCAGTTCAGATGAAGGGATGGATAAAAGGTGCAAGCATGCAGTTATATCAGCTCAGTGCATGAAATACCAAAAAAGTTTCATACAGGTCTCTGCTGTCATAACACTATTAACAAGAGGACAGTTCAGTAGCACTTTTGTTTTATACACAGGAAATAGGATTTCTTTCTTCTCATTAAAAATTACTACACTCCAGTGAAACTCACACTGAAGGAAAAGGTATCATGATGCATGTTTGACCTCTAGAACCCACCATTAATCAACTGCAAGAAGAACCTAACAAACTAAAACAGACTGAAGTCTACAACTTTAGGTTCCTTATTGTTTTGGCAGCATCCGTGAGAGACTTCAAAATGCCATTCTTTTTAAACATTCATCACTTGAGGAAGAGCTAGCTTTAGATATCTCAGCTTGGTATGTAAAACCGTAATCCCTTTGAAAGCGTGGATCTTTCAAGAACCTGATCATATCACAGTAATTGTCTAACGTACTTTTTAAAAAAAACATTACCGCCAGAAATACTGTGAGAGCAATTTTTTTTAACACTAATTTTTAGATTTGTGCTACTCTTTCTTAGTACACTCACCATTAAAGACTTACAAGTAACCACTAGTTTTGCAAAAAAAGAAAGAAAACAAACTACGAAAGCTAGATGTACTCAGAGACACTCAGCTGTCAGTTACGTTCTTCATCCATTTTAACAAGTTTTTTACTGGGATTGATCACATGGGTTGTGGGGTTTTTTTGGTACCCCAGCACCTCATCCATAAATATTTTTCCCAATTTATAAATGTTCTCATCACAGCCTTGAGCCAACACACTAAGGTTAATTTGGACTGAAGTAATAGGGTTATCTAAAACAAAAGAGCTGTTTTCTGAGTAACAACTTATACAAATTTTCTATTCCAAATTACCAACTTATTTCAGTTTAATTTACCCAACACTGAAGTAAATAAAAATGCTTATTTTGCATTAAGAGTGTGCAAATATGGAATTACTTAATACCTTTTAGAAAACTATAATTTCATAACAAGCATAGAATGAGTTAACATTTTTTAAAAAACCACTAAATTATCCCTTCGCCATTTAGTACTTCTTCAGCTAAGCAAGTGGAAGTCAAACACCACATATCATGCTTTCTTCACTAACATCTATTTGAGTCTTCATTCCCTTTCTTGTGTATGCCAGTGAGTAGCCTGAAGGATGATGAAGTGGAGCTTCAGATGGAAATTTTGCAATGTGAGAACACATTTGTGCACAGCCAAAGTTGTCCTAACCAAGCAAAAACATTGTAAAGACAAATGAGTCAACAAAGTAAAGGTGAAATAAAAAATGAGAGTTACACCTAACTTAAACTCCTGTTATGTTCAGCATTTGATAAAATATCAAATAATACTCAAGAAGGCTCCATTAAAACAAAGCCAAAAAACAGTGGAATGAGAAATCAAAAATAACAGAATGTCTCTGGAAATTAGAAATGAAAAAGATCAAGCAGAAGCTGCCATACAATAAAACCCTATAAGATACATTAAACAAAAAAAATACTTCCATATATATACAAAATATTTAACAAGAGTTTAACATACATTTTAAATGTTTAGAAATGTTTAGAAAAATAACTGCTTATTAGATTTTTCAAATACAGACACAGCATTTACAAATATACATAAGTATGATGAAGAATTCAGTCCTTAGATACATTTCTAAAACAGATCCTTTCCAGATCTGAATTCAGGAGCTATTAAAACAAGAGCAGTATGTATTAAAACAAGAGTAACCTCAATCATTAGTCTCAAACATCATTATCATACAATGAGATAGGTGGGAAGGAACCTTTGGAGGTCATCTGGTCCAACCTCCTGCTCACACCGGGGCCAACTTAATGCACAATGAACACTGTATCATCTCTGAACTGTACTGACAGGTATAATGTGAAGAAACATACAATTGAATAAAGACAAAAATAACCCAGCACTTTAGTAGCTTTGATTAGTACTGCATACAGTTTTGATGTACATTTTAAAAAGTACACAAAAATTTCCTACGCACCCTGTACCCTCTTGCTACCAGCAGGTACCTACATCAGCAAGACAAGGTATCATCTTATGATGTGCAGCTCATACCAACATCACTTCCTTCTTGTGAAGTATAAATCATTGCAGCAATGGTGCTTAAATGTTCAAGGGCTATTTAAAGTTCTTATTATTCATGGTATATGGTACACCTTTCATAATCAAAACATCTTTGTCTTTACAATTTTGATGAGATTTTTCTTTAATGTGCCTAGAGAAAATGCTGCATCTCCAGGTTTACTTTATTCTTTAATTCCCAGAGCCAAAGGCAGACTTCCCAGATTAGATTAGTTTGATACTTGGGTGATACTTGATTACTCCGGATGATTTTGTGCAAGTCATTCAATCACTCTGGTGGTAATACTACCCAGTGTCGAGGCCTCCCTTCCAACAGTGGTTTCACCATTTATGCTTGTCTATCTCAAATTATCTACTACAATCTCAGGGGTATTATAAACCTTGATTAACCCATGTATTCAAAGAACATGGAGGTCCTTTCTAAAAAGTGAAAAGCACATGTAATGCAGTAGTAACTATAACCATGGCACAAAAATGGTCACTGCCAGAGTGGCAGACTAAGGAAGCTGTCACTAATGCCATTATTGCCATTATTATTGTTGTCAGTAGTTGTACTAAATAATTTGCATTAATTTATGTCAAAATGGTATTCTTAGGTTCAAACACCTACACAACGAAGAGCAATTTTTTAAAAACTCCTACCTGAGATGACAAGAGATTACAGTCAATGTGCAGTCCTTTCCCCGTCTTATACCTCTGAAGTAAACCGGCCATAATTGCTCCATATGTATACAACCCAGTCGCAAGATCTGTCATGGCTACTCCTGGTCTAACTGGCTCACCATCCTAAAGAAAATGAAGAAAACACCTCAAAATAAAACAAAACAAACAAGCAAAGAAAAAGATTAAAAAATGAAGGAAACTAGAAGAAGCAAAACATTACTTTTTGTTACAGAACATTCTACGCAACTCATCTGAAAAAGTGTTCACGTTTCTGCAATGCTAACTGCAAGAAGTAAGAGTGTCTTTGAGTGAACTGAAGCATAAAAAACACCACTGAAAAACAGTATCTCGCAGATTCTTGCAGTATCTACACAATTCGGTAACCTCATGACGCTGCAGACTGCAAATCGTGAATGATTTATTTTGCTACTTTTTGTCCTAATAATGTTTCACCTCACCAATGCGAAAAGGAAATAGATACTGTTAGAGATAAGACAATCCACTGAAAACTGAATTTCATTATGCCTGGAAGCCAAAGGTCTAAAGAATTTCCACAGTCCACTGACACAGGTGCACGCCTGTTTAAAAGGCAGGACCATATTGCTTTGCTCTTCTCACTCTCTTTTTCTCCCTCCTTTCCTGGACCTCCCCCAACCAAATCTCAGTTTTGTATTTTCCATTACATACACTCCAGACTTCTAGTCAGAAAACAAACCCAACTTTGTTATGTTTACACATATGCACATTACACCTGCAAATACATTCAAATTCTTGACTTTCTGACCAAAAATCACTGCAAAGTTGTTGGTTCGAATATTCTTTTTCAGCATGTCATCTTTTTCCTGGCGGTTTTTGTTGTCTCCTTGTATGTTTTCTTAAGCCATTTGAATCTTGTTTTTCAAAGCAAGTTTCTTTCAGCAAACACTAATGCTACAGTCTTCAAAAGCTTCTTCAGTGGTGAAGCAAAGAGCTTAAAGGATGCAAGCATTAGTCATTTTCTCACATGGCAGGTGGCTTATTTTATATGTATTTGATCAGTGAAATGAGAGCTACTTTTGAAACACGTTGGGTTGGTTGGATGGCACACCACAGTCAAAGAAGGAGTGATGGGAAGAGCAGCAGCCAGAGCAGTCCTCCGTCGCAGCTGTTACCTAGTTCCTGCAGCAGAACCTTGCCTTACGTCGATGGCTTTTAATTCCCCTCTTGTTTTATTGTTTATTTTATAAAAGAGAGAAATTCCAGTTTGAGTGACTGGTGCTGTTGAGAGGCTCTGGGAAGACTGGCTGCAGCCTGCGGGTGAAGGGCCGTGCCGGGCAGACTGCCTCTGAGAGAGGCCGCTGTGTGGACGGGGGTCGCAATCTCTCTCTGGGTTGGTCTGTGCAAAAAGTGTTCACCAAAATGACAGTCTCTGTTCTGTGACATGTTCGTGCAAAACTATGCATATCGGCTTATAGATGATATCAAGAAATAGTGGTTTTCTTACCGTTTCTCTTCTCTCCCAGGTCAGTTTAGTTGAAGCACTTGTTGTTTTTTTAAAATTTAAAAACTAGGTTTCTGATTTAATTTGAGCCATAACCTACGTTTTCCTAAAAATCTTTGCAGGGTTGCTCGTTGGAGGACAAACCCTTTGACAAAGACAGGAAGCATTGTGAAACTGATTTCTGGTCCATATACTCTTAATTAAAGAGGGTCTGACCATGACTCTTAGACCAAGAGAAACAATTCTGCTCGTATTTCATGCTGTTAAGCTAGCACAGCCCTGAAGCTCACATAGATTTTTCGTTATGAAAATTTGTTCTCAGGCTGAATGTGGTGTTGGGCAACCTGGTCTAGTTGGAGGTGTCCCTGCCCATGGCAGGGAGGTTGGAACTCAATGATCTTTAAGGTCCTTTCCAACCTAAACCATTCTATGATTCTATGATATTCTACAGTTTCTTTGATGTTGGCTTAGATGATGATGGATTGGGGCTGAATGAGGTCTCCTCAGTCCTATCTGGAGGTTGCTTCACCTTGCTGCTGCAGCAGGATTGTTCCCTTGTTGAATGTTGCCTTACAGCTTACTTTTAAATACTCCAAGTGAAAACCTTTTCAGATTATTCGGCAGTATAATATTCTTTCAATGTGTTTCCCTGATAATCATCTGGAAATTAGCATATCTTGCATTTATAGATGGTAATTACAAAGTATTAGCATAAATTACAATATCATTATAAGGCAGTGAGTGAAGAGTTTCTCCTCATTTTTAACCTAAACCTCCCCTGGTGCAACTTGACGCCATTTCCTCTTGTCCTATCGGTTGTAACTTGTGAGAAGACACCAGCGCCCACCTCTCTACAACCTCCTTTCAGGTAGCTGTAGTGAGTGAAAAGATCTCCACTCAGCCTCCTTTTCTTCAGACTAAACAACCCCAGTTCCCTCAGCTGCTCCTCATAAGAATTATTCTCAAGACCCTTCACCAGCTCCATTGCCATTCTCTGGACCCTCTCCAGCACCTCAATGACCTTCTTGTACTATGGCACCCAGAATTGAACACAGTACTTAAGGTGCAGCCTCACCAGTGCCAAGTACAGTGGTAAAATCACTTCCCTAGTCCTGCTCACCACACTATTCCTGATGCAGGCCAGGATGCCGTTAGCCTTCTTGGCCACCTGGGCACACTGCTGGCTCATGCTCAGCCAACTGTCAGTCCACCCTCCCAGGTCCTTTTCTGCCAGTCAGCTTTTCAGCCACTCCTCCCCAAGCTTGTAGCATTGTATGGGGCTGTTGTGATCCAAGTGGAGGACTCAGCACTTGGTCTTGTTGAAGCTCATGCTATTGGCCTCAACCCATTGATCCAGCCTATCCAGGTCCCTTTGAAGAACCCTCCTACCCTCAAGCAGATCAACACTCTCACCTAACTTGGTGTCATCTGCAAACTTACTGAGGGTGCGCTCAATCCCCTCGTCAAGATCATTAACAAAGATACTAAACAGGAGCGGCCCCAACACTGAGCCCTGTGGAAGGCCACTTGTGACTGGCCACCAACTGGATTTAACTCCATTCACCACCACTCTCTGGGCCCTGACATCCAGCCACTGTTTGATCCAGCAGACTGTACGCCTGTCCAAGCCTTGGGTAGACAGCTTTTTCATGAGAATGCTGTGGGGAACAGTATTGAAGGCTCTACTGAAGTCTGGGTAAATAACATCCACAGCCTTTCCCTCGTCCACCAAGCAGGTCACCTTGTCATAGAAGAAGATCAGGTTCATTAAGCAGGACCTGCCCTTCATGAACCCATGTTGTCTGGGCCTGGTCGTCTGGTTGTCCTGTAAATAGTATGTAATAGCACTCAAGATGATCTGCTCCACAAGCTTCCTGAGCACCGAGGTAAGACTGACAGGTAAAATAGCAGTGCAAAGCTAACGAGACTGAAAAACAGAGTTTCAGTACCTAAGTAAGCCTATCATAACCCAATTTAAAATCAGTGTAATTGACAAATAATAACTGTTTGTCGAAGTTCCCATAAATGCCTTTAAAATAATCAATAAAATTGAATTTACAGAATTACTTTAATTAGTCACATCTAAACTGCTAAGTGTAATCATACTTTAAGACTGGAAGAGAGTTATGTTTACTGATAATTATAAAAAAAAGAGTATCTTGGCTTCATGTAAAAAAATTAAAATTTACCTTCAGCATGGTTTTTTTTCTTTCCACTCCAACAGGATTTCTGTAAGTCTGATATCAAGTCATATATAAATTAAAAATTATTGTTTAAAAAGGTCAATTCTGGGATAAAAGACTATAGTAAAATATTTTGTATGTAAGACGGAAAAGGCTGCTATTTTATTCCTATCATAAACGTAACTAACAAAATTATAAAATCTGTATCAAATATGACAAAATTTAAAAAAAAAACTCAGTTACTGTCATCCAAACTGCAGTAAGGATTAGTCTGTGACCAACTATAGCCTAGATATTAAGGTTGATGTATAAACTACACATCCTTAAGGGGAACACTGCTTGATAAAGTATTTCTTTTTTGAAGAGTTTCTTATTTCTTCCTTCTCCACACTCTACACTGAGCTACTTCAGCTTCCCAATGGAAAGGACAACTCAAAGGTTCCATCCACTTATCACTTTCCTTCTACCCAACTCTGGGGGAAAACAGAAAGGGAAATTCTTTATGTTTATAAGTGTAGCCCTACTGAGAAAGCTAATTGCCACACGAGGAGGTTTTTGCTGCTCAGATCTATCACTGAGAAATACAAATGAAAAGAATAAAATTTCCTCCATATTATCTGCTGCAAGTTCTCAGTTTGTTAAATTGCTCTTTATTCATTACAGCCAAGACACTTGGATGACAAGAAATCAAAAAAGACAAGATTTTGCAAACAGATATGCAGCAACATCCTTTGTTTGAAAACACCTCCCACTCTTTTCAAAGTGTCACTAATTTCACCCTTGATGCAGAAAACTAGGTTTTGCAGATGTAAAAATCAGGACTATATTAACAGATTGTTGCATATGAATTTGTCTTCTCAAGCCTTGATTCCAGCACTTTCCTCATCAAGTACTAAACTACCTAATGTTTTAAAGCAAATGCTTCCTTTGCCTCAGTAAAGACCTTTAATTTCTACAAATACTTTCACAATTTCCCCTTACAGAACACTCCTATATTTGAGGAGTCAAACTACTAGCACTATAGTGCTATGTTATTTTTACTACATTGGCTTTACTTCATGCTAATGCTCCACAACCTAGAATTCTGCAGCAGTCCACACAACTTCTACTCTTCCTTGGTCTTTCTACTAAGACCTATGAGTAGCTGCCATTTTTCACCCTTTAATCAGCTTCTAATGTCCATCTGTGCCATAAACCAGCCTTTCTGTGACAGGATGCACAGCTGTAAGTACTGTGAAATGGATTCATTCAGGTTTTCATCTCTGTCCTTCAGAACAAGGGATATGAAGATGCTTTACATGAAGTATAAAGCTACACACACACAGAAGTATTTTCCTTTAGATGGAGCTTCTAATAGCACAGCAGTACTTTCGTGCAGCTAATGTTATATAGTGTTCAGTTTTGGGCTCCTCACTACAAGAAAGACATTGAGATTCTGGAGGGAGTCCAGATAAGGTCAA